AATTTGCTTCATTTGACAACAGTTCTCTCACCAATGACTACTGTAGGTCGCACCATGCTCACCAACATTCACACTAGCACCATGATTACTAAAAATCATATTATAGATTTTCATTAGAATTGGACCCTATATCACCAAATGTACTTCAATTGACAAGTCAAAGAATGACAGCATTATTGGCTCACCTTCAACTGGGTCACAACTGCATTTGTCAATCTTGCTACCCTTTGTATTAGAGTTGCTTATTTCATCTTCTGATAGATAATATTAAAGTTTACTATTTCATGTGTATTCCTATTCATCACTAAAATCTACCAACTCCTGTAAAGCCTTCGCAGTTTACTAATGCTCAGAAAAACTAGGGCACTCAGGATTTTTTCTAACAAGACAATCACCAGAGGCATCTGAGATTTAAATACTGTATATAACTATGCAACCAACATGACTTATAAACAACTGGGACTGAGCAAAATCACCAAAAGATGATGTGAATGCTGCAGCCAATCACTTTGTGAATGGGATAAGTACAATGGTTAAAGCATGTGATAACATGAAAGAGTTATTAATGAAATGGTGTTTGCAGAAGGTTCTACTGTGTTGGGAAAACATAAGAAGGAAAAAAAGGATGTGGTGGCAGAGTAATAATATTGGTAAAGAACCGCATCAGAACCAGTGAGATAACACCAAAAACCCACACGTTGAAGAAGTTGTAACTTTCGAACTATTACATTGCTGCAAAACTAAAACCTTATCACCACCATAAATGCAAACAACCTTGAGCAAACATCATACAGAGCTCAGTAACAAATGTGAAGGGCTTATAACCATCCGAAAATATAGTGTTATAAATAAACCAGGAAAAGACCAAATTAATTATCTTTGGAGATTTTAACTGAAAACACAACAACTGGGAAGCATTTGAGGCCAGAACAGAGAATACCAGGAACATTTCTTTTTTGTCTAAATTTGATGGTGGAAGTATTTAGCAGCGTGAGAGACAGCAATGACATCAATACTAAATAAAGTATTCATAAGATAGGAAATAGTTTGTATACTTGACACTTGGGAAGCATATTCATACTCTGATGGTAATAATACAGACTATGTTGTTAAATATGATATTATGGTGGGGACTAACTAAAACTGGTGGAGTAAGGTAGAGAGAATAATGTGAAACTAGATTACAAGAATGAGATCATGAGCTGCAGGGAACTGATCTCATTGTAATATATGCTAAAATTTTGGGACATCCATGTAAAGAGCACTCAAAAGTATACACCAGAACAAAAAGAAAAACGGGATAAAAAAAAAAAAAGGCTTACAAGGCATACTGGATAACAATGGAGAAAAATAAGAAGCCATGAAACATTACAGGAAATAACCAAACACAAATGTGCCAGAAATACTGTACAAACAAGCTAGAAATAAGTATTTACCTGAGTTTACCTGAGGGTCACCATCTCTCTAGTGGCCTTGACTGGGACAGGCAAGTTCCTCCCAGTGTTTGAGGGTTTTTTCCAATTGGCATTTATGACAACAGTGAGTAGGCAGTTTCATACGTTTATAACCGTATGAGTGAAAAAAAATGTTTTCTGTTCTACCTTGTTGCTCATTGAGCTTGAACCTATTGTCTCTTGTATTACACTTGACTTTTTAGAGAAGTGGTTTGGATTACGGTAATATCCTCCAACTTCTTCTGCATTTTAGGTCTTGCTGAGACCAGCTCTTGTCATATCTGGTTTGCAGTGTTGTTAGTCCTGTGGCCTTCAACCATTCTGGGTATGAGTCAACTTAGTTCTGGGATGATTTTTGTTGCTCTGTGTTGAACTTTCTCCATAGCAGATATGTCCCTTTAAAGGTGAGGTCTCCATGTTTGGATACAGTATTTCAAATGGGGGTACACCAGAGATTTGTACAGTTGAATAACTACTTTTCCAGTGTAACTATATTTCCCAGTCTACTGGAATGGAAAGTAGAAACTGGAAAACTGGAGAAACTGAAAGTAGAAACTGGACTGGAAAGTAGAATAACTACTTTCCAGTCAAGGGTATGTTTGACTATTCCTTATTTTTTTTTTTTTTTAACTACAGCTCCCACTTATTGTGCAACTTTCAATAAAATGGTGGATCGTGACTCCTAGGAATCGTTCATGGTAGTGTTGTTGGTTTGATAGTCATGATGTTTATTGTTATGCCCTAAATGCAAGGTTTTGCATTTTTCAGTATTAACACCTGCACTGCGTACATGTTAAATGTATGCAGTGCAGCACAGTGCAGTGTGGTGCACCACCACTCATGTGGGGCACACACAAAAATGATTATGAAAAAATTATTTTTTCATTTGGCATTGTTAACTATCTTGAGGTTATCTTGAGATGATTTCGGGGCTTAGAGTCCCCGGGGCCCAGTCCTCGACCAGGCCTCCTTTTTGTTACACAACCCCAGGCCCAGGAAGCAGCCCGTAGCAGCTGTCTAATTCCCAGGTACCTATTTACTACTAGGTAACAGGGGGCATCAGGGTGAAAGAAATTCTGCCCATTTGTTTCCACCTCCACCAGGGATCGAGCCCTTAACCTCAGGACTACGAATCTGAAGCACTGTCCACTCAGCTGTCAGGCCCAGGCCTAGCCTCCAGAAAGCACGGAAATCCAAGTAAAAATACTCTTTATCTTTTGTGGTTTAGCTGTAGTGGCCTGGGGAAGTTGTTGTTTTTCTGTAGCAATTAGGCGAGGTGCCACATGGGAATAATGTTGTCGATTTATTTTCATTGTTCTCACTTTCATTTACTTTTTTTGTTCTAACAAGTTGAACTGATGTGTCAATGGTGGTGTTTATTATGTATAACTGTAAAAAATATACATACATACAGATATATGTGTATAAATATATGCACACCATGTATTTATTTATACTATATATATAAATATATTTATAAGCCTAAATCATATAATTGCACATAGCACATATTTTGCCTGTTAATATTTACAGTACTGTACATGGTAATCAATCATTTACTGTTATTAAAAGTTCAATGGCTCTTAGTATAGCCACCTTGCACGTTCAGACACTGGATGGTGATATGTCATACATGGTCCTCGTCTTCCTACTAAGGTCCTAGAAGGAAAGTGAGGGAATCAGGATTTTTATTAAGGTAGAGGATGGTTGCTGGAGGCCTGAGGAAGAATGTGTGAGTCCCATGTATGCATGGGAGTTGTAAATTTTATGATAGGCCTAAAATAACCCTGGTTGTGATGTGCAACTTAATGCAGGCAAACGGACAGTTTGGTGAAAATTACCATTACAATTTTTTTATACTAAAATGGAGATGGAAAGAATCCTTTAAACTACAAATAGTATCCGTGATCAATGCAGCAGTGAGACACTAAAACAGGCATTCAAGTTTATATGCATAAATTACTTGGAAAGCAACAGTATGCTAACAAATAGGTTATCAGACTGGCAGAAAGTGAAAATGGAATGCCACACAGATTGGTGCAAATCTGTGCACCAATGTGCACCTAAAAATTTTGATAAGCTATAACAATGATCTGCTAAAGTGAATATAAAGCTATGTGAGTATGTTTGCCAATTATGTGAAAGTACTTGAGCAAATCAATCAAGGATTAAAAAAATTTGTGCATCCAACCCATAGTCCAAACAAGCTGACTGACTGTTGTAGACAATGGCTGATGGTATGTAATGCATAAAAATGTTATGCAACAGTGGGGGAAGGAGTAAACATAGACTCCATGTTACCTACAGTCTAGTCAGCAGGATTCTAATAAAGTAAGACTGAAAAATAAACCTTGGAGTGACTTTCACACTATACAATACTCAAGACTATATAAAGCAATGTTAACCAATGTCTAGATAGCGTTTTAGTAGACTTCATGGACAGTACAATGATGAAAATGCTGGTTATTACCTGTGTGTGGTTAAAATTAGAATATGTAAGCAGTGGTGTTATGCCAACATTTAAACAATCAATTAGTTAAATTAGTAAGAGTTCACAGGAATGAAAGAAATGGGTCCTGGAATTCAAACCATTGGTCTATGAAGAGAAGTTAGATTCCTAAAGCAGCTAACAAAATGAGAGGGCATTGGTACAAGATCAAAAAACACTGACGAAGGAAAAATATCAGAAAAGCTTTCTTCAATAATAAAAAAGATTGAAGATAAAACAACCATACAAGTTGTGAGTAAAAAATAGTTTTTGTTTTAAGACTACATTTGATAACATTTATAAAGAAGACCAGACACCACAAGCCCAGCTCTCTTCATGTGAGAATTTGTTGAGTGTGGCTGGGTGTGAGCTCCAACAGTACATATAGTTATTGTAAAATAACTCTCACTTTCTGCCTCTAATAGAACATCTTGAACTCCAGTTGCAGCTCCAGCTACTATTAGAGGACAACTTCTTTCACACCAAGCATTCTGCAAAATTACTAACTTTGTCATCAAACACATATCTTCTTATGTCATCATGACTTCGTACTAAGATCATCACTGAGCTTTGAGAATTTGCTTAAAAGTTAAAAGTTATTGCTGATCAGCTGCAGAGTAACCCTTCATGTTTGGAGCATACAAGAGATGCCACACACAAGTGTAATTGTGTGAATGTACTGTACATATGTATATTCACACAATCATTAATTTCACCCTGTATCTGATTACAGCTTGGAATGTAACCATTTGATTGCATTTAGTTAAATTTTCTTTCCACTGCTTTTGTTTTTTATCTTAATCTTTCCTTAACTCAGTGAATGTGTATCTCTCCTGGAACTGAGGAAATCTAGCCACATTCCTCCATCTCATTGTTCATACAGTATAAATTTGTGCTCTTATTTTAATTTCTTAAAAGATTAAGCAGCATCCTTTTTATTTTCTACTTGTGTTTGAATGTTCTTATGGTGATGAAGCAACTATAAACTTTTATATATCTTTGAAATCTTTATGTAAATGTAAAATATTTGACAACTAAACACATCCTCTTCTCTACAGATTGAAGGACCCCGACTCCAAAAGAAAGGTTCCATTGTGAGCGCAGAAACATCAGTGTAGGAATGTTCCCCACTTTTGTAAGGCTATTATATTATTTTGAGTTATTACACAAGAGAAAACAGGTGTGTAGTTTGGATCAACATAGTACGCTCAGCACTGAATTATATGAGTAAGAAAATATATCTACAGAGGTAAAGTATATATTAAAATTTTGTTCATTGATGTGTTAAATACAGGGAATTAATTAATTATCATTAATTATTTATGAAGAAAACAAATTAACCAAATATTACAAATTGAGATACATCACTGGTATAATCAATTAAATTCTGAGTATTCACAAAGCAGTTTATTAATTGTATTAATTTTTTAACTGCTTAGGTTCTGAATGATTAACCACTAAAGTGTATAGCTCCTGCAGTTCATCCTAATTAAATACAATACATTGAATTCTTCCAAACTCAAAAAAGTTTGTTCAGCTCTTATACTGTACACTCACTCAAGTTGAAGAATGTTTAGGTCATAAAAGAATAATTTATTATTTCATTAATTTTAAAATACTGTATACTGTATTATACATTTTTTGAAAGTTAGAAATTAACATTAACCTTTGCTAATATTGTATGGAGGAGTACTACAATGCGTGCAGATACTGTATTACATTATTTTACTAAAATTCAACTACCTTTGTCTTTCTTAATTTTAAATGCTACAGTATGTAATTTTTAATTTATCATTTCATAAACGCATTTCATAGATATGTTCGCTCAGTAAATCACTTTACATAAAAATATATATACCTGTTAGCAATGATCTTCATATTTACCAAAGAAATCCTTGTGAAAATGCACCCATTGTATGCAATCATACTTTTGTTTTATGTTTATAAATAGCGGAAAAAGAAGAGATTATAGGAACAATAGAATCTACATAATAAATAAAGTTTGAAAAATTGTGCAAAGTTAAAGAATGTAACATACTGTATGAGAAACTGTGTGTGTGTGTGTATGTGTGTGTGCGTGTACAGTACAGCATGTGCAGTAAACAATAACCATGTCTTGGATAGGCTAAGTAGGTTTCTCTTCTGCTCATGCAGTGGTGCGTCCATGAATGACTCGTGCTATCCTCTCTTAGCATATGATGTCTTATTTTAAAGTTTGACAAGCCATCCAAATTTTACTGTTATTATGACTGCTTTATTACTTTTAACACAAATCTCAGTACTGTATTTACACTTGGTTTACATTTTGCACCAAATGATAAGTTTTTTAGAACTACATATAACTATAAACACAGACCAAATATTAAAAACAAGAAATACAAAGAATAATTTTACATAACTGAATATGCGGTATGTGTAGAATATAAGTGTGAAGGCTAAATGATACATCAAGGCTTAGTTTTCTCACTTGAGAATTATCAGTGGTAGAGAAGTGTGTGTGTGAGGGCATGGAGGAGGAACTTGTCACATGGTGTACACTGACTGGCAAGTAAGGTTACTTGTGTATACTTGCCAGTTCATGTTACCTTCAAGTATAGTGTTGTTATATGCACACTGTCCTTTGTAAGTGTATTTCATTTGGCAGTCTGAAAATATGTGGCAGTCCAAGTTGTATCTAGTGTACTTGATGCTATTTGCATTAATCTAAATATAGTGTATATATATTTGTAAGGAATGACTCCTGTTGCTTCATGTAAATATCAAAGCTCAAAATTGCCAAGGCCAAGACTTCCATAGAAAAAAAGGTTTTGTCATATAATAAATACTTGCACCTAATCCTTCAACCAAAGTCTGCATTACTGTAGATGCATGGTTGTCATCATTGAATAGTAAATGTATAATTAATGCAACTGTATATTAGCATATTCATAAATTTTTTTATCTACATCTCATAGAACTAAATTTTCTGTGTGATATAAATTTCACAAGCATTGCAGACAAAAAACATACATCAATTTTTTCCAGATGTACTACAGCATGTCAGCTAAATACATGTATAGGTCAACTAATAATACAGATAAATTATTATCTCTTGAAAACAATTCTGTACATTTCATTTCATATATAACCACTTTGCAGCTTGTTCATTCATTTTCCCAGAATCATTCACTAGTTCATTGGACATTACATCTGTAATTTAAAGCAAATCTTAACTGCATTTTATAGAATTTTGTATACACTTATTCATCCTCTAGGGCAAAATCTTCTTCAATCAGAATATTTTGCTAGTCTAGGCTTTAGGATACCAGAAGATAGTCTACTTACATCCCATCCTCATGATTTTGTTGTATTTTAAGCATAGCAAGTAAATATCTGTCATGGGCCTTAAGCCTATACCTGGCCTACAAGTGTGGTCTTTAATCCTAGTAGAATTTGGTCGTTATCATCCTGATGAGGAGTGGTGTTGCTCACGTCCTTGTCAGATGTGGGCTTGATGCCTGGTCAGATGTTGCCATAAGAGAATCATTTTGTGGTATATATCAAGTATACATCATGTTACTTCCTCTTCTCTTATGTATGATATTCAGACACCATAGTGTGTACGATACTTTACATATCATGTAATTACAAGTACAGTATGTTCAATGTTCTACATTTCACCAGAATAAATACCTATTATGACTGATGTTTTATATATTCTGTACTGTAGCATAATTTAAGTTTTATACATTATTAGGCTTCTGTTAAGTTACGTCATTTGGCTAATTTAGTCATCATTAAGTGCAGAAATATACGTTCAATATATGTTCAGTATTAGCCACTATGTTTCATTATGTACAAAGCTGCTCTTTAACTGTGTGTATAATATAGTACATACTGCATTTTTTTTTTTGGTATGATATGAAGATGGGCTGCTGCTGATGTGTATTGGACCAACTTATATGTAACGTACAGTTGTGCAGGCACAATATTCTGAAATTGTTTCAGACATTCAATTTAAAAACATACAAATATGTTATTTTCATATTTGTATATGATGGTACAGCTGTCCTAAGAGTGAAACATCTACATTTTGCATATATTATTCAGATGTTAGTTATTCAATTTAGAAAAAGGTAGTTGTACATTCCAGAAGTAGAATTTAAGTGGCATGTTGTAAGAATAGCAGCAGCCAAACAGGAAATTGAAGATATACGAAAGACTTAAAAGTGGAAATGTATAAAGCATGGTACCAAGTTTTTTGGTGGAGTCAAACCAGCAACCAAGGTGGTTTGTGTTGCAGGATGTATGTCATCTATGAATGAATTACTGTATTGATAGAATAATCAAGATCATAATTTTCAAACACAGCATTCTTTTATGTAAACTATAGAATAGTCTCTTGATATATGCTGTACCCACTTGTGTTGAAGACAGTTAAGATATCTGGCAGGAAGGAATTTTAAAGTATAGTACCATACAAGCATAAATTTTCATTTGCTTTGTATTAAGGAACACTTAACTTAATACTTTACTAAATATCCTGGTGAGATGGAAAGCTATTTACTGATCTGTGGTTATTTTAAAATAAACAGTGGCTTAGTGTTAAATGAAAACTTTTTTAGAGATAAAAAGAGAGAGGCCTAAAGAGCAATGAAAAGGATTCTGGAGATATCGAGATTGATCGCTGATTGCCACTTTACTGGGTTAGAAGAGAAACCATCTTCTGGCAAGCTGTTCATCTCGGACTTGCTTGAGATGGAGCTTATCATAAGCCGTTTGTGACTGCTGTCACACTACGTGCTCAACCCCTACCCCCATCCTGAGCAGGCCCCTCTTAAGTGGGTGCACACCTGCTGTTCCCCCCCATTTCCTGCCCACCAACCTCTGCTCAAGCTGTGGTGATCCCATTTTACAAGGTCAGAGAAAGCTCTCAATGCACCCTTGTTTAAGTTCAAGCCTGACCCTGTTAAGGATAACATTTGTTTGCTTAATTAGCTGTAAACAAACAAAAGAAGATAATTCATAATGGAGATAATCATAATGTTCTGTCTGTTGGTGATTACAATGTAGATATAAATAATTCTGACATATTACATTATTTTAATTTTTCCAATTACACTAAAGGTTTCCTTGTAATTTCCTAATGCACTTCGTTATTTTTTATATATACAGTATACAAGATATGCACATATTACATAATATGTTTTATAAGAAAATGATTAAGCTAATTTTAATTTAATATTTTTTTTATTATCTGTAAGAAAAATTTACTTGTTTCCTCATTTGAATAAAAGCCAATGATGAGGATGCAGCCCAATATTTTCTGAAATCCCAAAACACTAAGATAAATGAAAAGTGTTAATCAATGCAGTATGACATGAAATGTGCTGGTCAAGAGCACCAACATTCACTACTTTCATAATCATAAGTATAAATTAAAAATACAACTAATATGTAGCTAGTTTCTTTGGTTCTGATAAGTACAGAATCATATCTAAATTATTACAGCATCTGTTATGATGTAGCTTAACCCTCAAAATGCTGCTATCATCAAAATTTATAACCTCAACTACGAGCAAAAAAAAAAGAAAAAAATGGTCTTCTAGAATGACATTTAAATGAAAAAGGAAAGGGAAAATATATATATATATATATATATATATATATATATATATATATATATATATATATATATATATATATATATAATATGCTACAGGTTACAGAAAACACACACACAAATAACAATCACTATTCGAAGACGCCATCCAGCTCTTCGGAGGTTGGGTGCGGGCCCAAGATACAGCTCGAATTTCCTCTCTGGATTGAGACACTGAGGGGCTGGAACAGGAAACTGGCCGCTCTTGAATGTTTAGTTTTCCTAATGAGTTCCTCACCCACCTCCTTTAGAAACTTAAGTGCACATTTAGGGTCTCAGAGCCTATTGACACAAACCTGTAACCACATTCTAGGTCCCTGTACTTGTTAGTTTTCTGGGTCTCCCTGAAGGTGGCCGCCCCACCTCCCTCAGCTGTACTGTACGGTAGATAGGTATCAGCCAATATAGATGCACACGTGTAGTCCCATACATGGGTACATTAGTCTACCTTCCCTCCATGGCTGCAAGGTAACTCCATCTGGGCGTTTGTGACTTGTCAGGTCTGCATAACTGAGGTTCCGTTTGTGCTGGACACCCAGCTATAGCAACTTCTCTTGATGATGTCATTGAATGCTTCGTGTCTGGTAATCTTTCCCGGGTTTAACACCTGGTTTAACATTTAAACACTTTCGACCAACCTTAACCACTCAACCAACCGTGACCGTACAAAAGACGATGATAGCCAAGGCTATTTCGCCTACCATCCCCACGGCACTTGGTTGTAATCTTGGGCATAGTTATTGCATCGAATCACCTCACTTTTTGGGGCCATGTGAGCAACGGTGGGGGAAATATCCTTGGCTACCATCGTCTTTTGTATGGTCACAGTTGGTCGAGTGGTTAAGGTACCATGTACACCAGTTGCATAGTGCTCCTGGGTGTCTGGGTTTGAGTCACTTCTGGGGTGTGGAATGTTCAGTCGCATATATGCTTGGGGACCATTCAAGTTTGTTTGCATTTGTGTTGCTCACTTGGCCCCAAAAAGTGAGATGATTCAATGAAATTACTATGCCCAAGATTACCACCAAGTGCCGTCGAGATGGTGGGGGAAATAGTCTCGGCTACCATCATCTTTTGTACGGTCACAGTTGGTCAAGTGGTTAAGGTACCATGTACACCAGTTCCATAGTGCTCCTGGCTGTCTGGGTTCAAGTCACTTCTGGGGTGTGGAGTTTTCAATCATATATATATATATATATATATATATATATATATATATATATATATATATATATATATATATATATATATATATATATATATATATATATATATATATATATATATATATATATATATATATATATATATATATATATATATATATATATATATATATATATATATATATATATATATATATATATATATATATATATATATATATATATATATATATATATATATATATATATATATATATATATATATATATATATATATATATATATATATATATATATATATATATATATATATATACTGTATATATGTAGGAGGGTGGTAGGGGAAGCGAACACTCTTACGTATTCAGAGTTAAATGGCAAGTTTTTCCCTGAATGCTCTGTGTTCCCTTCTCTGAGGCTGTGGGGCCCTATAATTGCACCAGAGGTGGTACCCCCCTATATAAAAAAAAAAATATTATATATATATATATATATATATATATGACATATATTGGCGACTTGTCACCTCTCCTGACAACTATCTCCTTGTTCTCACGAAGGCTTTTAGCTGCCGCTCTAAGCTCGGGGGACAGTATGGTGCTTCTGTAGTTGCCTCGATTCTTTCCTCCTTCTGCAATAAGTTCTGCTTGTAAGGTATCTTTGGTAGTGACCTTCTTTTGTGTCTCGAGGTCGAATATGTCGTCCAACAGAATTTCCAACTCCACTGACAGGTACAAGAGGAGTGTTGTTAACGCATACGTCGACCGTGCTCTCAGCCACAGCTCAGAATGGAAGCAAGTCGACGAAGAACTCTGTAGGGTAAGGCAGGTTCTAGTCAATAACGGCTTCTCCAATGGTTTCATCGAAGACATCATAAGAAGGAAAGTGAAAAGCCATGCAACCTCCGAAGAGACAACTAACACAACACCTATACCCCCTATTAGACTATTTTACAGGAACTTCTTTTCCACAGCTCATAAAACAGAGGAAAGGGTCCTGAAAGATATTGTTAATAGAAACGTTATCCCTACAGACAAAAATCAGAGGATACAACTGACGATTTACTATAAAACCAGAAAAACGGCCAGCCTACTCATGAGAAACTCTCCAGACACGAAACAGAACGCTTTAAAAGAGACTAACGTCGTCTATGCCTTCAAATGCCCACTTGGGGACTGTAAGCTCCAAAAAACCCAGTATATAGGCAAGACAACAACATCTCTTTCTAGGCGTTTAACGATGCATAAACAACAGGGCTCCATTAAGGAACATATAATCTCTTCCCATAACCAAACCATCGCCAGAGAAATCCTAGTAAACAACACAGAAATCATCGATAGATACAGCGATAGCAGGCGGCTAGACGTTTGCGAGGCACTACACATCAAGAAGTCAACACCAGCAATCAACAGCCAATTATTGCACAACTATATTCTACCCACCTCAAGACTCCGCTCCAATATAGAAGCATCAAGAAATATGGACTAATAGGCTTTCTACAAACACTTCTATTCAATATCCATTGTTTCGTGTTCTGTCTTGTGTTGATACTTTTAATACCCTATTAATATCCTCTAATGCCACATCATCCTTCCCACCTTACTCAAATGTAATGCCACATCACCCTTCCCACCTCACTCAAATGTAGATATAAAATCAGGGAAACGCAAGTTCTAATCAGTTGTGTATTTGTGAAGTCTTTGAAAATGTAATAAGTTTTACGAAACGCGCCCGTGTCGCGTCAGACTAGAAATAAAAATGAATTTTGGAGAAGTGATTTTTGATTTACCTCCAACAGTGAAGCATAATGTACGAAAGATTGAGAAAATTCGTGTTAGAATTATTAATCTTACTTTTTCGGTCATATTTAATAAAATATGTCTACAGGAAAGACTGCTACCAAAATATACTAATGTTAAAGTGCACGACCCAGCAGCAAGGAATCAAGCCTTCACGATAAAATATCGCCAGGATCTGATTCGTGATCAGATATACAAGGCAGAGAATGAAATCAAAGACAAAAAAACGCAACTACTTCATGCTACAAACGAGTGGAGAAATAGCAACATCGACCATAGTATCCGTACCCGCATTGAACAACACCTCGACATCCTCACAGACCAACATCACCTCAGCACTGAAACAAGGATTATCAAGAAACTAACAACATTATATGGAGGACCTATGGCAATTCCACGACCAAGAGATGGCTTCCTGAACCTTGCAGGAATTAACCTCACTGAGGACCAAGTCACTCTCCTAAATCTGGGCATAAACTGTCATGTTATGTCCAGACCGAGTGAAATGGCCCGGAAAGTGGAGTTGGAAATTCTGTTGGACGACATATTCGACCTCGAGACACAAAAGAAGGTCACTACCAAAGATACCTTACAAGCAGAACTTATTGCAGAAGGAGGAAAGAATCGAGGCAACTACAGAAGCACCATACTGTCCCCCGAGCTTAGAGCGGCAGCTAAAAGCCTTCGTGAGAACAAGGAGATAGTTGTCAGGAGAGGTGACAAGTCGCCAATATATGTCATTCTTAAAAAAGACGAATATCTGGCGAAAATGAATATATATATATATATATATATATATATATATATATATATATATATATATATATATATATATATATATATATATATATATATATTGGAGGGGATCTAAACATTCCCTCTAATGCGTTATGTGTAATTTCCTTCAAGGCTAAGGGGTCCCTTTCTTCCAGCCTTATTAGGCAAATCAGGCCTTGCATAGTAGGCCAAGTACTGCGTTCTGGCTACTAGATACAACATTACAACATATATATATATTTTATCAAATGGCCTCATTCTTTGGGGCACACGTGAGGAACACAAATGGGAACAAGCCTGAATGGTCCCTAGGCATATATGCAACTGAAAACTCACACCCCAGAAGTGACTCGAACCCATACTGCCAGGAGCACTCTTCAACTGGTCTACAGGACACCTTAACCACTCGACCATCACGACGGGACAAAAGATGATGGTAGTCGAGGCTAATTCACCATCATCCTGCCGGCACTCTGATGGTAATCTTGGGCAGAGTATTTTATCAAATCACCTCATTCTTTGGGGCACATGCGAGGAACACAAATGTGAACAAAAAAGTATGACCGAAAAGGTATGATTAATAATTCTAACACAAATTTTCTCAATATTTCTTATGTTTCTTTTCACTGTCGATGGTAATTGAAAAATCATTCTCCAAAAATTAATTTTTATTTCTAGTCTGATGCGAC